CTTTCTTTCTTTTTTTCTTTCTTTCTTTTTTTCTTTCTTTCTTCCTTTCTTTCTCTTTCTCTCTCTGTGTGAGTCTGTCTGTCTGTCTGTCTGTCTGTGTGTGTGTGTGTGTGTGTGTGTGTGTGTGTGGTGGGTTTCAAAATTTTTTGGAATCTCTTCTGTAGGTGTGGCCTGCTTTCCGGGTCCACTGCATGAGCCTCATGCAAATTCTCTAGGTGCTCTTCCAGTTTCTTCTTCAATAGGGGAGAATCTTCTGCTTTGCTTCCTTGCTCTTGGAGGGTACGCTGGAGCTTGGCCACTTGAGCCTTAAGCTCAGAGATCTGTTGTTGGCTCAGCCTTTGCTGTACCTCTAACTGGTTTTTACTGCGGTTTGATTCTTCCAGGAGTCCTTGCAATTCAGCCTGTTCCTGTTGGTATGATACCTCCTGAGCACACAACATTTTATTCTTGTGATGTAGCCGTACGATGGTCTCCTTTAATTCTGCTGGCATGATTTCAGCTGCTAAATTATCCATTGGAGAAGAAATGTCTTCCAATATAGCATCTGCTTGGTTTAGGAATTTCTGCTGCACCTGAGCACATTGCAGTTCCTCATTAGCCTCCCGAAGGGCCTCCCACTCTTTGATCAGTCTCTCCTTTTCTTTTACCAGTGCCTCAAACTTCTCCTTCAAATTTTTATATTCAAATTGCCACTTCTCTGCCTTCAAGGCTTCCTCTCCATGTTTGCTGTAGTGCTCTTGCACCTGTCTTTTATGGGCTTTTAGTTGGGCACGGACAACATTGGCCCGCTGCAGCTCTTCCTCCAGCTTATAGGTGCGCTGCATATAAACTGTGTTTCGCTCTTCTAGCAGGCGGACCTGCCAATGCAGGTCCCCCAAGTTTTCCAGTTTCTTTTTGTAAGAATCTACCATGGCCTCCAGGCACCCCACTCTGTCTGACGAATGGCGAAGTATATCCATTTCATCTTTGAGGGATTGTGCTTCCTCTGCCAGGCTCATCAGCTTCTCGTTAGGGTGTTGCAGGTCCTGTACCTCCTTCTCCAGATCTTCACAGCGAATTCGAAAATCATCTCTACCATTTTCCAGCCGGAAGTTCTCCTCTTGCAGCTGTTCTATCTGTGACTGAAGTAAAAGCAACTTCTTGCCAGTGAGTCCAGCAGCATCTGACTCCAGAGAGCATTTTTGCTCCCGAAGGGTCTTGTTCTCCAGGACCAGTAAGGTTTTTTCCCTCCATTAAAATGGAGATCGGATGCTCCAAGTCATGAAAATGTAGGCACATGTCATCTGTCTACTCTAGGTCATCACTGAGGAAGTAATACTTTCGGGACTGACTGTCGAAGTTCCCGTATGTCTCTGAACTTAATGTGTCCGATGAATCTTTGGTCAACAGCTCCTGAATAGCTGCCGTAACAACATGCTGAACGGATTCTTCCAAGGTCATGATTTGCTGGATGTAATCTTGCTTCTTCTCACAGCTGATGGCACAGCCTAGTATCAACTGTAGTAATTTCCCAAGCTCGGCCAGATCAGACAGCTCTCCAACCAAGGCTACATCAGGCAACAGCTGCTCTGGGACTTGGTGGCCCAGCACATCTTGGGAGTACTCAACCACACTTTGCAGGGCCTTCTTCAGGTTGCTCACCTTCAGTCTCCAATTGTCACCAGTGTCATCCTTAATCCGTAGGAGCCATGTTTCATTGAACCAAGATGGATCTATCTTGTGTAGCACCTGGGCAATTGTTACCCCACTGGTCAAATCTTCCATCTTAATAGATGGTGATGGAACATGGAAAGTTTGCATCCAAGTGAGAAGCGCCCCGCATCGCTCGCCGAGTCCCATCTCACCCATGGCTCCGCCGCTCGCAGGAGCAGCAGTAGTCTTCCAAGCGCCATGCCTCCTAGAGTGGCCCTCGAGCCCCGTCCTGACATCACCAACGTCTCTAATTAGCATTTTAAGAGAACTAACTACTATTACTAATTAAACAAAGAATCATATTCTTGCCTTCTGGAAGAAACACAACAGGTCATCTTCTTTGTGACAACCTTTTGCTGCTAGTTGAAGCACTCATGTAACTGGATGTGATTTTACAATATTTTTGTGGCAGTTATTAAGAAAACACGGTAGTCATAAATGGAAATCCATTCATTCAAGTGGATGTTTTTTTTCCAGAAACCAGGGGGAAAAAAGATTGAAACTGACAACAACATTGCAAATTTTGGTCATGCGATTACAGAACATTTCGACCAATTGTAAAGATCATTTGCCAAGCATCCAATGTGTCCCATGACCACCGAGGGAGTATAGTGTGACCATTTGCAACAGCCAGGGCGTGCTTTAAAAACCATAAAGTACCTGTTCCATGGCCATTATAAATGCAAATGATCTTTAAGCAACTGGGTTGTAAATTGAGGATTATCTGTAATTTTTCTCAAGGCTTAATATATCCAATTCTTTAAGCTCTTTTCATACATTCTAATCTTCCAATTGTCTTTATTATCCTTTTTTTGGAACTGAGGTAATTTTGCTGAACCAAGCTTAAAATCTTTAAAATTTGGGGTTGGGTCTGACCAAAGTAGAATGGATGAAACTACTATAGCAGAAACATGTTTTTTTTTTTAAAAAAAAGAGTGATACAAATACCTTTAGTGCATAATTTTAATTCAATTTAAAGTTGTATATACCCTATTTTAACTTTGGCACCAACTTGTCTCACTCCAATTTAATGAACTATCAGTACTATTTGAGTGTAGTACTCCAAATTTAGTTTTAATTTAGTTTTGTTTAGTTTAGATTAAATTCAGTTCAGTATTAGAGTATAACATAGCATTGCATAGCATTAGTATTAGTATAGTAATTGTATTAGTATAGTACAGTGCTATTAGAACTGCAATGTTTTAAGTGAACTTAGAGATCAATCCCTTTTTTATTAACACTAGAATATTCCTAAGTATCAATATCATGATCAGTTTGTAAATTGTTCAATCATCCCTTTACCCATTTTTGGACATAGGAAGAATATTTTCTCTCTTCTAGCTAACTGGCATTTATCAAACCCTTTAGTCCTTGAGGATTTCTCAAACATCAGAGATAAGGGATTGAGTGTTTCTCAATCACAACATTGTGTGCCAACCTCATCAATTTCATATGTGGATTTCTACTCTGCTGCCTAGGGAATTGAAGTAGTCCTGAATATTTAGATTCATTTTGACCATATTTCTGTCAGTCTGATGGAACAGATTTGTGTGTTAGAGAAGCTTTTTTCACCTCATCTTTGCTATCCTGAACAAATTCTAAACTTTCACTTTCTGGACATTAGTTTTTTAGTTCCAGACTACATGGACATAAACCTCCTTTTTGACATGATCTTCTTTCCATTTTGCTTATATGTTCCTTTTTGTTTTCAGAACTTTCCCACTATGCTTTCTAAATAAAGACTTCTCTTGTGGGAGTCCATTTTTGCTCCCTACTAGAATTGTTGCAATTTGTATTTTAAGATCTATTTCTCTGAAAACTTCCATCAAATTGAAGCTCTTTTTCCTATTAGCTTTTCATGTCATTTATTGAATTTATTTTACTACATTTATATATTACGAGACTGAAACCAACAGGAGGTGACTTTATAAATGAGTGGAGTACATCACAGGATTGGCCCAGATCACTTAAGGTATTGTGGGGAAGAGCTGGTGGGTGCTTCTGCTCTTCTGAGAGACAAAAATTCTAATTTGTATCAGAGTCACAGATTAGACGCATCGTTGGAAAGCAGTTCAAACATCTCCCTAATTCACTACTGTATAAGGAAGCGATAGTATAGCAAAATCAGACTTGCAAGATTCTTTTTTAAATAGTAATTTATTAAAAATGACAGTGATAAAAATACAAACTTAAAAAAATGTGCAGAAAAATAGAAAAAAGAAAAAATATATAAAGAAAAATATAAATTACTTCCCCCTTATTCACAATATAAACAATATTAATAAGTTATCATCTTTTCTTAAAATACAACTAGCAACTCTTCTTCTGTAGGGAGGCAGAGGATCTTAAAATTATCTTGTGTTTAAAAATATCTTTTAATATATACATCGTTAAAAAGCATTTTGCTACTTTCTGTATTTTTAAATAGAGTTTGAGTATTCTTCTCTTTTAATTTTAATTTTTAGTTCCTTGCAGTTTCCTCTAGTGTACAACCTTCAAAGTCCCGTCCTGTTTTTTTAAAGAACTCAAACTAAAAGCATTTTCTCATGGGAAGAATTCTTTACAATTAATTCCAAAATGATATTTCAAATCCATATAGATCCTTAGTTGATTTGCCATTTTATAAAATCAAAGTTCTGACTACCTTTTTGTCATTTATTTAAAAAAAACCTTATTAACTTCTTGCTAAGGAAGCTCACCCAATATTTTCAGACTTGTTGATCCAAAGCTCCTCATAATTGAAAAGCAGCTAAAAAACCATTTGCAAAAGTGATTACAAAAAGAAGTATGTGAACCAGGTGTCCTTTTGAAGGTGCTAACTATAGTTTGAGTCAGATGGCTATTCCCTCTTCTCCCACAGTTCTAAACCCATCAGAGACTGTCTTGTGGTCTCCTTGCAAATTGCAACTGTCTGGAATACTTTGGGGCAATCTCCTATCCTATCCTATCCTTTTCCAGAGATGACTTGTGAGTAGCCAGTTCTTCATTCCGCCATTGTCTAAAGGTGGAGCCATCTTCAGTTTATCATTTTTTTCTCAAAGACTGTATTACAGCCAATCTCCATAAAAGCAAGTTTATCCTTCTTGTGGAATTGATTCCCTGGTCTGTTCTACTTAGTAGACTGACATATTTTGCACCAGCAGACCATCATTTAGATATATCCGATCTAACAAATTTGTCAGTTTTCTAGAGTATGGAAAAATAATAATAGAGGTTTGAAAAATATTACAAGAACAACATTTGCATTTTTTTTCATCCAGAAAATGGGAGGCAACCCTCCACTCCACCAACAGGTACCTAACAGGAGGATTGGGAAATCTCCATTTTAACAAAATTAATAGAATATATAAAATATAAATAAATGTAGTTGTCAAGATTGCTGCATCCAAAATGACTTGTTTTCCCTTTTTAAAAAAATGTTTTAAAAGGCTCCAAGAATCTAGTTTTCTTGGTTGTATTTGTTGACAGAGACTATGGTACCTGAAACCAAATATCTCCAAATATCAACACCTTTTGTATAGCTAATTACTGACTTCCAATGCTACATTCTGGCCCTCTCCTTTTGATTGTAGGAACAGGTAATGCTACTATCTTGTTCCTATACACAGAAAAAGTCATTTTTCATTGGATAAATTATGGACGTTCTTCTGTCATGTTCTTGATCCTTGCTTTCACAGATAACACATTTCACATGCAGTTTTTAATTCAATTTCTCATAGTAGAAAACTAAAAACTACAATGACTTGTCTGTCTTCTGCATCCTTTAGAGATCTTCAATCATGGAATCTTTTCTTCTCCTAAGTACACAGACCCTATTTCACCCATGTAATCAACTTCTAGCTGTTTATTCACTAGGCTTGCTCCAGTATTTCTGTATCTTCTTGAATGTGCCTAGATGATTTCACTATTCAATTTGTTGCTGACCCCTTTCTCATGAACTGAAATATTGCCACTTGTTGATATTTTTTCAAGGTTTGCTACACATTTATATATATTCTGGACTGTTTTGTATCAAGAAAACATGCTTATTACAGGCAAACTCCTGCTAGCTCTGTCTATTCATTCCACAAGCTTTTTCCCTGAAGCCAAGCTGCCTTACACCCCACCTTATGATTTCTATTTATTCAGCAAGAGGCTATCATCCGATCACTTCTAATGGATAAGAAGATCTTAGCATCCGTATGTTTTTGCTACTTTAATCAGCCTAATGAATGCAGTTTCATGTTGCAAGCTTTGTTCCTTTGCCTGCAATGTTACAACACATATAGAAAAGAAGTGGATTTTGTGCCGTAACACTACAGTTACAAAAGAAACATATGAATTGGGGAAAATATTCCCATTTGAAACTTGCACATGACTAATGCACTATGTTTTGTCAGGTTCTTTAAAATCAATTTCAAAATGTGAACACAAACACTAAAATCAGTTGATTTGTATATTCAGGAATCAGTTAGCTGTATACTTTTTTTGAGGGGGGTCTAAAAACAACATAGGGTAATCATAAAGAGACCCATATTTAAGTGGGGCAGTGAGAGCAACAACACACCTATTATTCTGAGCAGAAATTACCTTCCCAGAAACTGATCCTGGGAAATCACCCTCCATTTTTCATTTTCTGTCTAGACCATGCTGTTCATTTGGCCACATGTAGAAGGATGAAAAGGCCTTGATATAAATGCTTGTGAGTCTGCGATGCTGCTTCAGTATCAGCAACTGCTCAACCATCACAAGTGAAGATGATGACAACGACAACAGATTCTTATGGCTTTTTACAAAAACTAGTGTTCCGAATTACCTTCCTCTGAATTTGAACCTTCACTTGTAGCTCCCACAATTTGTTAAAAAAAAAAAAAGCATAATCTTTCCTTAACTGTGCATTAATACATTCTAAAACTGGTGAAATTTCTCCTTAGTAATGACAATTCCAATATGTTATTTACCAGTGTGAACATTTTCTTTGTGCTTTTTCAAGGCATCCTTACTCTTGAACCTCTTCCCACAGCTGATAGCCTTGCATACGAACCTAGCATCTCCTCGGCATGCTTCTTTGTGTTGTTCAAAACTGATGTCAGGTGATTGAAGAAGAGAAAAATAAGGCATCAAATAATCTACTCCTGGAAATGTAATCTTGAAAGGCATTTGAATGCACATGCTGGGCAGCAGACTTTTAGCCCACTTCATGCATAACTTACTGCATGTTGGGACAAAAGTAGTTTCCTTCTCACATAATTAAGTGTTCACAAGGCAACTATGAAATCTGAAAGCAAGCAAACATGCAAAGAGGAGTCAGCAGCAAGATGAGAGTAGTCCAGTAATTAAGACAGGGAACCTCAATTCTGAGCTGAAGGATATGTTGCAAATAGAACACTGAGAACTTCTTGAACAATTTCCTGGATTCACATTTTCTGTGCACTGAAGGACACTGTAAGGAAAGAGAAAATTAGGAAAGAGAAAAAAAGAGGATATGATTATTATTATTGTTATTATTTATTCATTAAACATGAAACTCAGTCAACTGAACATTCAAAAATGCATCACAAGTACCATTGACTGGTGCTAATGGTTGATACGGGTTGTTGTTGTTGTTGTTGTTATTCTATGTATGATGTACACTGAAGATGGCATTTAATGTCATGGTACATTAATGTCATGGTACATTGTGCAATGACAATAAAGTAAACTAAAAAAATCTCAGGTCAAACGATCAGTCTTCAACTGTTTTTGCGATGTGACTGATTTTGTGCATACATAAAGAAACACGTATCTATTCTGCATTTTACTTATACAAAAATGCTTGCACTAATTATATATATACAAAATTGAGTCAGTCATGTGGGATGACTGATTCAGTTTACAACCATGATGGAAAGGCCATCCTAATATTAGGGCTACCTCATTACATTCAAAAATGGGCATGGCCTTGATTTATTTGCTTACTTATGCAAAATATAAGTGGTTTTTCATAATTAACAGAAAAACCAGATCACAAGTTTAAAACAATATAGAAATAATTTTTAAAAAGTAGTTCAAGTAAAATAAAGTAGTTCAAGTAAAAATTGTTAAAAATAAAATGCTAAAACTATAAACACTTTAACTCCCATCATATATATAATAACTTGTATTTTATAAAGATACCATCCCAGACTGCAAATAAAAAATATTTTTCCCAAAAAATAATGTAAAGTACTTGCATAATTTTCTTGAATTAATGTACAACACTTATTTCAGATTATTCATTTAAGATTTTTTTTAAAGAAAACAAACATTTTCAATATATTTCCAAATCCAAATTTTAAAATAACTTGAATGTTTATAAAATGTCACTATCAATTTTTAATATTGTTATTGTTATTGTTTTTAATATATACACTTATGAAAGTATCTTGCTCACTCTGTTTATGACTGTGTGCATCTAACATCCCAGCATCCACACTGGGATAATATTACATTGGCTTAGATAAGTTTGATAAAGGAGCCATAACAGAATAAAGTGATGCTGATTAAGCATGTCTTCATGATGTTCTGTTTATACATAGTTTTTGTCCCATTCATATTACATGTTTATTATATATCTCCATGAAACACCTAGCAAAGTTCAAAACTAAATTTGCTGTAGTTCGTAAAACATTCACTGGCAAAAAATATTTCCGTATGGTATTATTGACTTTATAGTTTCAAATGCCACAGACTTACTGCCTTTGTAAAGCTTGCTTTACTGGGAATTTCTTTCCACAATTCCTGCATTTGAATTCTTTTTCTTCACTGGGTTTTTGATGCAATGTCTGAAGGTGTTCAGCTAATATTTCCTGGCTTGCAAAACTAGATTCACAGTTTGGACAAGCATGGTCCTCTTTGCAGGGAAAACAATCTACATGGTAGAGAAAAGACACAAATTCAAGAAAGAAATTAGTTCTTTGTAGAAACATTGCAATAGGTTTTGTTCTAAGAGAAAGCTGTCCAACTTTTATCATGCAGAGATCAACACAGTGATAGAGGCCAGACTGCAAACAAATTTGAAAACAAGAATAAGCTAAATGTCATTACGATTGCTTCCTATATATTTCATAATTTCTTATTATGTTTTATTAAGAATTACAACTGAATCACAATGTTGAGAATGCAAATAGCTTAAGATTCTAGAAGTATCACTTTTAGATGGAGGATTATAATATTTATAATAGCCTTTTCTGTATAGAAACATATACATTCATACTATCTTATGCAAAGAACAATAAAGAAGAAACATTTATCGAAAGTAAAGTCACTATACCTATCTACATCTTTCTGACCTTACAAATCATTCACAGGTGAAGCTAGGCAAAATCACATCAGATACCTGTACAATTTGCACAGGAGTCCCCCAGGCTGTGTGCTCTCTCCACTTCTCTTCTCTCTATAAACCAATGACTGCATCTCCAAAGATCCCTACGTTAAAGTACTGACATTTGCAGATGATACAACAGTGATTGTTCTTATTCGAGACAACGACAAATCTGCATACAGACGGGAGGTTGAACAACTAGCCTTGTGGTGCAAACAGAAATATCTTGAATTAAAAACACACTCAAAACTGTAGAAATGGTGGTAGATTTTAAGAGAAACCATCTTATACTACCACCTCTTACAATACTAGACAACACAGTATCAACAGTAGAGTCCTTCAAGTTTCTAGGTTCTATCATTACTCAATACTTAAAAAGGACCCCTAACATTGAAAACCACAACCAAAAAG